CAATATATTTAAAAACATGTACCAAAATTCATTAGCTAGAACTATAAGAATAGATAGGTTACAAAACTCAATTTAAGAGCAGAAAATTATAATGATGGAAAGAGGATTTTATTAATGACAGAGAAATGAAAGTGCAGTGTTTTCTATTATGCATTTAAGAATTTAAAGGTAAGAGGCAGTTAGTGTAGTTCAGTTGATATTATCATAATAGCTAAGCATAACTTATCCCAGTACTTCCACATCCAGGCACTTACCAACTGTTTCATGGGCAGCAATAGCAACAAAAACAAACTGCTCACCAAGCCAAACCCAACTGACAAACAACCTAACACCTGATAAGCCTGCTTTCTGTCAGTAGCTGGATGAATCAAGGGAGACGACTAATAAACATGACCCGAAGTCTTCAATCAGGATGCGACTGTTTAATGAGGGACGTTCACCTTGCCAAATCCAGACTAGATTCCTAACCTGTGCCTTACAAAATTGAACTCAGAATAAAAATAAATTGGCCATTGGCGATACCGGTTGTGAAGGATAAATGCTCAAGCCGTCAATATCCGTATGTCCCCCTTTAATGGGGGAAACGTCTCCGTCAGAGAGGAAGAGGTCAAGGAGCAGAGAGAAGTTGAGACTGAGGAGCTTCGTGAACAGCTTGGCCACCTTCTAGTTCTGGTCAAGTGAGAGGTCTGCATTTTTCCTTTTTTAAATTATCTCAGGATTCTCCCTCAGGATAATTAGCCTCGATACCCTCACCACTCCCACCCAACCTGTGACTTAATTGATATTCTCACTGTAATCAAACCAATTTTGGATTTAGTTCCTAAAATTGATGTGTCATGATGTTCAAAATAATGGGACCAGGATATAAACCATGGTTTGTTATAAGACTGTGAGGACTACGTTTGTTCCTTAGAGGTCAGTATTTTAAAACAGATGGACCGCCGTCAACTCCAGCATCATGCGTTGTTTATTGTTGTACATGTATTTCCTCTGAGGCTGAGACATTAAGACATTAAAAAATTAATAAGTTCTTTCATTGAAGGTTATTATGCATACCATGGAAAAATAAAATTATATAGTTTTCATTCAGTTAAATGACATATACATATCTACACTATGATTTTTAACAATCTTTAAATCAATCATTAAGCAGAACAAGGGAAAGAATGGGAATGTTTTCATTCCGTTTCCTCAATGCAAAAGAACATTGCTCAGGGGTTTGCTTTGGAACCTTAGAGGGTGGCTTAACATTTTTTTTTTCATTCAAAGATATGACTACACTGACTTCCCCATCATAATTAGATATGACATTATTTTCCATGATCAAAAGAAGTCCAATTTAGAAATAAATTAAACGTTCACCTTATCCATAATAAAAAATTAATGGATTTATATGGCTACATATTCAGTAATAATGTAATGCACACTAGTAGATTGCACTGCATGTAAGGAAGGACAGAAAGAACAATTCAAGGATATTGTTTGGAGTACATCAATTTTATTTACAATGGATAAACCATTCTCCTTACAGTTCTGAGCTCCATTAAAAAGTACATAGATATTTGTTACACCTTGAAATTCCTAGCTACATTTTGCTGTGGAAGGTTACTTGGTAAAGTTTGACCATCTTTGTACTGTGGCTTTAAGATGTTTTTAACTTGAGCCAAGTCAATCCTAACATTCTATCCCATCTCTCTCTCTTTACGAGTGGCACTGTGAATATGAGGAACTGACTGTGTGTTCTTCATGTGAGCAGATATATATCTGAAGAAAGCATCATACACAGAGAAAGCAGAGACAAAATAACAAAAAGAAAACAATCCAGAACTAGCTGTTTTCATTCTTGGATTCTTATGTCATCTGAGGTTAAAACGTTAGAAGAAAGTTCACTTTCCTTGACATGGAATTTATATTCTAATTGGGATATATAAAAACTAACTAGAATTATGTCATTATGCATGGGTAGCAGCTAAGTGTATTGAAGAACCATGACAATATATTCAGAGCACAGAAACTTTTAGATATGATACAGATATGTTGAGTACTATATGATGTTACCTTTTCTTTATGCTTCTTTGATAGTGAAAATTAGAGTATACATATATATCCTAATCATTGGGAAGGAAACACCTTCATTATTTAGTAGAAGAAAATAGAGACTTCTTGGGGAAGAAAATGCCTATCTAATATCAAAGAAAAATGAAATTAATAAAAAGTGAATCTATGGAGAAATACTATATATAAGCATAATTAAAATATGTAATAAACTGGCAACAATTCTGCTATTCAATTCATGATTACAGTTGAAGTCTAACTATGTCAGAATTTTTGGCTTAATTATAATCAATTGTGTGTGTGTGTGTGTGCGTGTGTGCGTGTGCATGTGCGTGTGTGTGCGTGTGTGTGTGTGTGTGTGTGTGTGTGTGCCCCTGTCTGTCCTTCCTATTGTTAGGTGCTGTAGAGTTGGTTTAACTCCCAGAGACTCTATGTATCCTTTATCCTCGCAGCAACTCTATCTATCCTTCCTACAGGACCAGAAAGCTGAACTGTTTCTGTTTTGCAAAATTTAGCACATGTAAGCCTGAGGAAGAACTGTGCACACTTATGGGATTTAGTTACTACACTATTATGAACTTTACAGGACTTTACCACCTTGGAAATATAGCATCGATTATTACAAATATTATTATCACCAACACCAAATTACTCTTTTTAATATTAATTCAGACATCTTAGAGATAAGGAGCAGTGGTCAGCTTCAGCTGGTCGGAACAGGCTTGGCGGGCTCATCCCGACGTGTGGTTGAGTCGGTGAAGCAGTTGTTAAAGGCACTTTTGCTCAGGGTGCTCTCTAAGGCGGAGGACTGGGAATTCCAGATTTACACTCCTGACTCTTTTAATGTTCATCTGCAAAACTGTATCACAAGCACCCCTCGTAATGTTCATCTCATTCACAGGTATAAAATGTCACTATGCTTATCATATTTATTTATTCAGTTCATAAAACTTGCTATACTTCTGATGAAACACTAAAGTTTTATTTTCTTGCATTTATTACTTCAGTAAACAAACATAATTTAGAGGAAAAATGACAAAAACCAGAGTGACACACTGCCATCCCTTTCAACTTTGTGTTATTTCTCAAATTCCTATTAGATATTATGAGTCATTTATGCAATTCCTAGAAGTTTTAAAGAGCTAAAACTATTGTCAAAACAATTGCTGTATGTTCAGTGGATATTAAAAAGGTTTTTCTCAAGGATGAATGTAATATATTCAGAGAAGGTAAGTTACCTAATTGTTTCTAGTATTACAAACACAAGGACTACTGTCTAATTTGCCTACCTCTAAAGGTATGGGCTCCACTCGTACAGTGAAAATATGGTTAAGGATAAATCACACAGCTTATGATGCTCAAATAAAAGTGAGGATGCCAACCAAGAATTAAAATGAAAATATCTTTTTAAACCTTGTATTGTTTTTGTCAGATATCATTTAATATTATTTCATTATATTTTAAAACTTTTTCTCATAACATGATCTACTTTTGTGTGCCTTTTTATTGTTCTTATTTACATATCAACTGTATGAAATAATAAACTTCTTCCTTTTGGTATGTATGTTTTTTAATATTTGACAAATATTTTTAAAATTTAAATATTTTTTAAACAGTCATTAAAGCTGCAAACTGGTTGTTAAAGTTTTGAATCTGACTACTGATAAAATGTACCTCAATCCAGTTTAACTATGTTATTAGTATTTAAATAATATAAATATATAGCTTGCACATTCCATTTTCATTTTCAACTGCTTGACTCCCTCTCTATAATGCAGAGAATATTCATGTTTGGGTGTGCAGTGAATGGCATTAGGGGACACATCTGACCTCTGTTCGCTTCCCAGGGCTAAGAATGGCAGAATTAGACATGACATCATGTTCCATTCTTCTTTACTTATTCTGACACCAACCACCACCCCAAAGCGCTCTACTTCTGTGCTGGGTTCCGTAAATCATTGCAATGGCCACATAGAACTCGCAGACAATACTCACGATTAAAAAGGTTTATTAGAGAAGTTAATGGTCAGAATCAGTCAACAGTAAGGAGTCCACATCAGTACCTGTCACTAGCCTCCTTTTAGTCTTCAGATTGTCATCCCCATTGTCCCTTGGCCTCTGCCTTTGTGGACCAGGAAGGCCGGCCACTCTATCTCAGTCTCACATTTTCAATGCTATGCTGCTTCTTTTGCTCTTCCATCGTCTTCATGACAGTCTTCAGTCCCTTGGGTCTCAGGCTCCACCACTTCAGACAGATACCTGCAACTTGCTCTTCCAGTAGTCCTCAGATTTCTCTCTCTCCCTGATGCTGCTTCAAAGATGGCGAGGTGGGTGGTAACAAAAAATAACCGAGCCCTTCTATTAGTTTTATGCATACCCTGTGTAGTTTGTATAATTTCATACCAACTTCAACTTGGTAAATAAGTGTAGGGCTAGAGTCTAGCCTGTCAATCAGGTCACACTCTGATGATGCCTCCTTGGGAGTGTGACCTTCTCATGAGGATTCTGGGAACTTCTTCTCTCTCTTCTTTCAGCTTCCTGTTGACAAGCCATATTGACCTGTGCCATCCCTGTGATGCTTCCACTGTCATTGGATCCAGGAGACTTTTCACTCACTGGCCTGTGATCTTCCTCCACTCTGCATCAGTACATGTGGCTGTGAGTCTGAAGAGAGAGCTGTGGACTAGCACAGGACTTATGGGCTAATATTGGACTTAGGGAATTGATCTGGACTGAGCTGAGACATTTTTTCAATATATAACTGATATAAAGCTCTCTTTTACACATCTAGGAGTGTGTCTGGATTTGTTTGTCTAGTCAACGTGGACTAACATGCCTTGTTTTTGTAGTCTCATAAAATCATTTAGTGGGAGTTACAGAGACTTGTGTAGAAGTGTCGTTTAAGAAATTTTATTACAAAATAAGAATGAGTTTCAAATATTCCATTACTTGGATCTAATCTGTTTAACGAAGTTTCGGCCTTTGGCCAAACCATCCTTCAGTGCATCTTTCATGGTCTCATTTCGTAAACTAAAGATGAAGGGATTTAGAAGTGGTGTGATGACACTGGAGAGGATAAAGAGCATCTTGTTGAGATGCAGGCTGCTCTTCTGTGAGGGGCGAACATAGACGAAGATGGAGATCCCATAGCCCATGGAGACCACAGTGAAGTGGGAGGCACAGGTGGCAAAAGCTTTGCGTTGACCTTGGCCTGAGGGTATCTTCAGAATGGTGGAGATGATGTACACATAGGAGACCAGGGTGAGGGAGAGGGAGCTGATGAGCAGGACAAGGGAACTGAGGAAGTCCAGGAGCTCAATAATACGAATATCAGCACAGGCTAAATGCAGGAGAGGGGCACTGTCACAGAAAAAGTGATCGATCACATTGGGGCCACAGTATGGCAATCTTGCCTTAAGGATAGTGGATGGGAGGATGAGGAAAAAGCCCCCCACCCAGGAAAGGATAACAAGGCGGACACAGAGGGAGCTGTTCATAATCACTGGGTACTGAAGGGGGCTGCAAATGGCCACATACCGGTCATAAGACATGACAGCAAAGAGGATAAACTCGGTACATCCAGAGAGAAAGTAGAAATAAAACTGACTGAAACATTCACCAAATGAGAGGCTGCTCCTCTTTGATAGGAAGCCCGCTAGCATCTTGGGAACAGCACAGGTTGTGGTTAATATTTCACTGAAAGAAAGATTGCTGAGGAAGAAATACATTGGTGATTGGAGTCTATAGTCCACAAAGATAAGGGTAATGATGAGGCCATTTCCAAGGACAGTCACCAAGTAGGCAAATAAAAATATTAAGAACAGGAGGCTGCCAAGAGCTCTGGTAGTGGGTATCCCTGTAAGAATGATCTCAGTCACCATGGTCCAGTTTTCCCTCTCCATGTGGACTGGGGAATCTTCTCTTCAGGATGGCATGGACGAGAACATCAGGATGCACCATTCACTAATACTGAATCTTCTAAGATACAGGAAGCTGGAGTAATTTCATTTATTTCTAACAAAAATGAGTTACATAATTAAAAATTAGCTTAATGTTTTCCCTTATAGCTCCAAGCAAAAAATGTATGCAATTAACATCCCTAGTAAATTTCTGAAATCTATAAGAAAAGCGAAACAAAGTAAACAATCAAGGAACAAAAATCTTAATCAGTTGGGTAAGGAATAGTGGGTTGCTAACTCCAAAGTAAGCAGTTCAAAACCACCAGCTACTCTGCAGGAGAAAGAGGAGGCTTTCTACTCCTGTAAAGATTCACGGTTTCAGAATGTACAGAAGCTGTTCTACTTTGTCTAGTAGGGTTTATATGAGCCAAAATCTACTTGATAGCAGGGATTTTTTAGCACAATTTGGATATATAAAAATAAACTTTTCAACAGATTATTTTAATAAGCACATCTCTATTTTATAATCCAAATGGTAAAAAGATAGTAACTCCAATGAATATTTAAAACGATTAAGTATACTTTATTCTGCATTTGATTTCTGTACAGTATATTTGAGATAGTACCCAATTATCTCAAAGCTTCAGCTCTATATCGGCAGGGCAGATAAAAACTGGTCACTGAAGCTGAGTATGCATACTGGACTCGAGACTAGGGAGTACATTGCCACTGATACTGGAAGGTTGAGTTTAGAAATAAAAAATAATATGCGTATCATTCTCCAGATACTGATAATAGTCATCACTAGAGAATGTAAACATCCTTAAGATTTTTATTGTAGGCAATGCATTTTAATCAGTTAAGGTAGATCTTCTAAAATATAAGTGAACAAATTAAACATAATCTTTGATGATGTTTATGAAGTGTTTCCATAAACGTATGTAGCTGCACTAAGCA